AAAACCTTATTGCAGTAGGTGAAATGAAAACCTTATTGCAGTAGGGGAAATGAAAACCTTATTGCAGTAGGTGAAATGAAAACCTTATTGCAGTAGGTGAAATGAAAACCTTATTGCATCAGGGGAAATGAAAACCTTATTGCAGTAGGTGACCCTAGAACTCCTTAAAGCTCAGTGTCCGCTTCATATTTTGATAATTCTTCTCTGAGTGTAAATGCGCGTGATACTGCAAAATAAAAGCCAAGGTTTCTGCTACACGTGCCTCTACATCCCTGTCATTTTTAACATTTTTACCAAGATTATTCAACTCTTGAAGAACATAATTCCAGCTTCCAGATCCACTTTTTATACAAATATTCAACTTCGTAGCGATGTTAAATTTGAAATTAACACCTAGAGACTTCTAGTTCAAGGTTATATCAATAGCAGGACAAGTGTCTCTCAATATTCGGTTTTTGCATTAAATTAACAAATACACAATTAAAATTTGTATCATATTATCCTAATGTTTGAATTTCTGCACTGGCAGAAGATATATTCTATCGTTGTATTCGAACCATAGAAAACATTGATCAAATTTAAGGAAGAAATATGACAATTCTCATGCACATCATGGTCTATTTTCATTAACTGGATATGTATTTTTTGCTTCTGAATGGTTTTTAAAAACAACTAGTAGAAATGATTTAAATCAAATATTAAATGACAGGAATATCATAAAGTTATCAGGACATCACAACAATTGATTTTGAATTCATTTAAGAATTCTTAACAAAGACATATATCTAGCTAGAGAAAACTGGGTTCAAAGGCATATATCTAGCTGGAGAAAACTGGGTTCAAAGACATATATCTAGCTAGAGAAAACTGGGTTCAAAGGCATATATCTAGCTGGAGAAAACTGGGTTCAAAGACATATATCTAGCTAGAGAAAACTGGGTTCCATATATCTAGCTAGAGAAAACTGGGTTCAAAGACATATATCTAGCTAGAGAAAACTGGGTTCAAATGTGGAAATACTTTAATATTTTAATATTAAATCTATAGACTATAGTTTCGTAAATTTGGTACATCCTATAAAGTTTCTTGATCATAGTATGGACCCGGTTTCGTCATCTTGTTTAAAGACTAAAATTTTTCTTTATATCAGGATTCAAAAGTATAAACCCAGTTTCCTTAACTAGTACAGTCTAAAAAGTTTCCAAATCCTGGTTCGAAAGTTTAGACCTAGTTTCGTTAACTAGCACAGTCTAAAAAGTTCCCTGATCATGGTTTCAAAGTAAAGACCTGGTTTCGTAAACTAGATCAGTTTTTAAAGTTTCCAAATCATGGTTCCAAAGTATAGACCCGGTTTCGTGAACTAGCACAGTTATTAAAGTTTCCAAACCATGGTTTCAAAGTATAGACCCGGTTTCGTGAACTAGCACAGTTTTTAAAGTTTCCAAACCATGGTTTCAAAGTATAGACCCGGTTTCGTGAACAAGATCAGTTTTTAAAGTTTCCAAACCATGGTTTCAAAGTATATACCCTGTTACTACCAGAGTGCCTCTATCATCTATTCATTTTAGAGTTCTAAGAATTTAACCCCAGACCCCAGTAATAATCTACTCTGTATGATTCAGTATAATTTGAAGGAATTCAGAACTATAGATCTTGGTAGAGTTAAACAAGGAACTGATATCAGCAGTTCCTCAGAAAGCCTGGAGTCTGTCTTTTCACTTTACAATAAAAAGTAATTGAGTCTTTGCCACAAACTCTGATATTCCAATCCCTATTAATTTGCAACACCATGCCGTAGACCAATTAGATATTTCCAACTATGAATTCTGCAAAATTAAATAATGTAAGTTTGAAATATTAAAGGTTTACACCGTCACGTTGCAAAGCATAGGGGCTACAAATTTTAGTTTGTATTAAAAACTCAATTCCTCTTTATGGAGATATAAAGGTTTTAGACCCGAATTTAATATTTTTGTCTTTGAATTCCTTGATATTTATGAAGAAGGTAGAAGAAAAATTCAAGGAACCTATATATGAAATATATCGCTGTTTATGTACTAAATACGATCAAAGACTAACCTTTTTCACTCGTCACTGTATTCCAATGTTCATTTACAGGGAAGACAAAGATACTCCTGAAACAAGGATAAAGAGGGGAGGGGGGTAAAATGGAACTAAAATGAGAATTAAGAAAGAAAAAGAAGAAAAATCAAACTCAGACAGCATAATTAAGGATTTTTACCAGATGAAATAAATTACAATTACAATCAGTTTCACAGAGAAAAATTAGATTAAGGTTTTTGCCCGATCTCCCTGTAACTTTTCTTCAGCGATAAAATTTATATTTACTGTTTAGATTAGATATGATTTGATTGGAAAGTCTAAACTGTCCAGTGTATTTATCTTAATTTTGGGAATTTCGAAAAAGACAATATAACTTCCTTTGGTTGGGTCTACACGTCTATCCTTTGAACTAACGAACTGGACTAATTAGGGCTAATCTAAGATACATTATCTAGGAGAGGGGGAGAAGGGAGGGAGAAGAGTGGAAAGGGGGGGGTGCCCCACATTGTGAATTTTTACCACAACTCTATTATCTATACATAAGGTTTTTTATTTCATTTTGACATGTTCAACTTGAGTACAAAATACGCGTTGAAAGGTAATTATAGATGAACAATGGGTAATGTTTGTAATTCAAAACAGAGTTAAAACACTTTTTGGCTTTTTCTGATCAATCATATTTGTATTACAAATTGTAAAGTGTATCAACCATCACGCATGGAGTTTAAATCGATGTTTACACTTTTTATACAATATTTTCCATTCACACGTTGTAGGAAAATAATAAGAAAAAAATTGGCTTCCTACAGACATTTAAACATTTTCTAAATCTACTATTTTCAGGGTCTTACCAGTAATATTGGGCGTTCAATGCACAACATTATGTCATCTATCAGGTACACATATTATTTATGTACTGCAAGATATCATGTTATCTATCAGGTACACATATTATTTATGTACTGCAAGATATCATGTCATCTATCAGGTACACATACTATTTATGTACTGCAAGATATCATGTCATCTATCAGGTACACATATTATTTATGTACTGCATGATATCATGTCATCTATCAGGTACACATATTATTTATGTACTGCAAAATATCATGTCATCTATCAGGTACACATATTATTTATGTACTGCCTGATATCATGTTATCTATCAGGTACACATATTATTTATGTACTGCATGATATCATGTTATCTATCAGGTACACATATTATTTATTTACTGCATGATATCATGTTATCTATCAGGTACACCTATTATTTATGAACTGCATGATATCATGTCATCTATCAGGTACACATATTATTTATGTACTGCATGATATCATGTTATCTAGCAGGTACACATACTATTTATGTACTGCATGATATCATGTTATCTATTAGGTACACCTATTATTTATGTACTGCATGATATCATGTCATCTGTCAGGTACACATATTATTTATGTACTGCAAGATATGTCATCTATCACGTACAATATATTTCGATAGTTTTTTGGTAATCACTGTACACTCTTAATTAGTATTGTGCATTGTACTTGTACGGTGTACATTTACAATCTACAATATCAAACCTTAATTGGAATAATTTTACATGTTTCTTCTTCTTCTTCCTGTACATTAACTGTACATGTTCTTTTCTTCCTCTTCCTGTACATTAATTGTACATGTTCTTTTCTTCCTCTTCCTGTACATTAATTGTACATGTTCTTTTCTTCTTCTGCTTGTACATTAACTATACATGTTCTTTTCTTTTTCTTCTTTTACATTAACTGTACATGTTCTTTTCTCCTTCTCCCTGTAAATTAACTGTACAAGTTCTTTTCTTCTTCTTCCTGTACATTAACTGACCAGAAAAAGTAAGATAACAAGCCGATGAAATTTGCATTATGCAGAAATAAAAACACAAAAAATAATGAGCGTTAATATCGGGAGGAGGGGGGGGGGGGCAGTAAACTTGGAATAGATTTTATTTTATGAGGAAAGGTTAAACAAAATCTGCATTCATGAGCAGTTTATAAAAGAGGATGGAAGGAAGACATATTATTTTTAATGAAATTTTACTTTTCCTCAGCTGAAAAATTAAGGGTTAGATACTCCTTATATCATCCCTTAATCCAAATATCTACTGTGAACACTTTTGTTTTCTGCTAGATCTGCTCTTTTTCCCTCTTTTTGGATATCCTTACTGGATTCTGGACATACATTTTTATATTTTTACCTTTACAATTGGCTAACCAATGCTATCATATATTTTGAATTTCCATTCACTGATTAAAAGAAAGATTAATGCAACTGGCCATTTCCATTAACCTGAGTTTGTTTAGCAACGGAATGAGAAGCTTGCAAGCTGGGTTTTCCAACAGGAATCCTAAATATATTCCATATCCGTCCACACCTCCAGAATATCCACAGAAACCTGCTGTACACACACCACACTTCGAGTACAGTCAGCCTGAGCCAGCATATACTGCCCCGGAATCGGTTTATACCCCAGCAGAACCGGTTTATTCACAGCCAGGTAGAACAAATCTTGTTAGGACCAAGGTTATAATGCAAGGATAGTTATTTCAGAGGTGTACGCATCTTTTGTACTGCAGTGTATACTGTCTCTGGGCGGTAATGTAAACACAAGACGGATGTCGAAGCCTGACATGGTATCCATCTTTCACATAAAAATTCAATTAAATATTCTGGTCATAAGAAACTATTTTCAATATGTACGCAGAGTATACGCAACTGCAATTAACTTTCCTTGCATTATAGCCTTGGTTAGGACGGTGGGTTCATACATAACATGTATATGATGTTTTTTTTTCTTTGTGCTTAATTACAAGAATCCTAAAGCATTAAATGCCAACAGATTCAAGAAGAGATGACTCTAAAAACTGCTTCATGCTTATGTTTAAAGATATTTTAACACATTTTAAACACATTATATAAATGAAAGATCCCCTTTTATCATTATTTTCCCGCTTATTTCTTTTCACCTTTTACCAATTCTTTTAAAAGTCATTCTAAACACAAAGTATGCAGTAAAAATATTTTAACTTTGCAAATGTATATAAAAAAGATTAATTACTAGAATAAAGGGGCGTGTAGAAATACACGTTTAAAGCAAGAAAATTACTAGTATGCACGTGGTTCAAAGGGTTGATAAATTGTAACTAAAACAATCATTTTAAAACAAAAATGTAGAAGTATAGTAACTATTTACACTTTAGAGAAATCGGTTTGTTTTAACAATTTCTAAGCTAATCAATATTTTTTCACTGGAGCCAGCTTCAAAACATAAACATTCAAGAAGTGTTTTAGTTAAACTAAATGCATTAAACAAACAAAAGAGTTGAATTGAATGCAACCTAAAGATTTATGCAAGGTTTTAGAAAAGGTTTATGCACTTTTTACTGGTCAATGTACGCGTGTGCATACTCCATAGCAGTACAGAGATCTTTCATAGAGTATTCAAGAATATAGAGGGATAGTTGGATAAGATATGTTTCATAGAGTATTCAAGAAAATAGAGGGATAGCTGCATAAAAGATGTTTCATAGAGTATTCAAGAATATAGAGGGATAGCTGCATAAAAGATGTTTGATAGAGTATACACGGATACTGAGGGATTGCAGGATAAGCTAAGAGATGTTTCATGAATATAGAGTGATGAGTGAGAGTTGGATGAAAGTTGTTTCATAGAGTGTTCAAGAACATAGAGAAATAGCTAGAAAAGAGATGTTTCATAGAGTATTCAAGAATATAGAGAGATAGCTGTATCAGAGTTGTTTCAAAGAGTATTTAGGAATAAAGAGGGCTGGCTTGATAAATGTTGTTTAATAGAGTATACACGGATACAGAGAGATAGCTGTATCAGAGTTGTTTCATAGAGTATTCAAGAATATAGAGGGATAGCTTGATAAGAGATGTTTCTAGAGAGTTCAATAATATAGAGGTATAGGTAGGTAAGATATATTTCATAGAGTATACACGGATACAGAGGGATAGCTGGATAATAGATGTTTCATAGAGTATGCAAGAATATAGAGGGATAGCTGGATAAATGTTGTTTCATAGAGTATTCAAATATTTAGAGGGATAGCTGGATAAGAAATGTCTCATAGAGTATACACGGATACAGAGGGATATTTAGATAAGAGTTGATCTTTTGCGCGAAACCATGTTTGAACCGCTTGGTTAACTGCAGACTGTGTAGATGTGTGCAGTTTAATAGCAAGGAATTCAGAGAATCCGAGGAATGTCGTCTCTTTAGTTTAACTCTCATTGATCTGTGCACCAGAACAATATTGATAAAAGTATATGCTATGCAAGCAAGTATTTATGCCCATTAAGTTCTTTCTTATATTTATTCTAAACTGCGACATGGTTTAAACCATGTACATTGTACAGGTTATATAAAGAACCAGTACATGGTTTAAACCATGTACATTGTACAGGTTATAAAGAACCAGTTGATGTAATTTAAATATTTACAAGTTTTTCAATAGTACCCTTAAGATCTTGGTTTGAGCAATAACTTTGAAGTTTTTACGTTTTCTTTCTGCAGAATTGATAATTTTTTTCCGGATTTCATAAACAGAAGAAAAGAATTAGATTCTGAAAAAGCAGACCTTTGAAAGTAAAAAACCACGATATCTTCCTAATTGTTACTTGATAATTAGTAACGTTGCAAATAGGACACTTTAGACCGAGGGACACTTTACGTGACCAGTCCCTTTAAAGGTCGAAGGACACTTTACGTGACCAGTCCCTTTAAAGGTCAAGGGACACTTTACTTCTACAGTCCCTTTAAAGGTCAAGGGACACTTTACGTGACCAGTCCCTTTAAGGGTCAAGGGACATTTTACTTCTACAGTCTCTTTAAAGGTCGAGAGACACTTTACTTCTACAGTTCCTTTAAAGGTCGACGGAGAACTTTACGTGACCAGTCCCTTTAAAGGTCAAGGGACACTTTACTTCTACAGTCCCTTTAAAAGTCTAGGGACACTTTACTTCTACATTCCCTTTAAAGGTCAAGGAACACTTTACGTGAACGTCCCTTTAAAGGTCAAGGGACACTTTACGTGACCAGTCCCTTTAAAGGTCAAGGTACACTTTACGTGACCAGTCCCTGTAAAGGTCAAGGGACACTTTACTTCTACAGTCCCTTTAAAGGTCAAGGGACACTTTACGTGGCCAGTCCCTTTAAAGGTCAATGGACACTTTACGTGACCAGTTTCTTTAAAGGTCAAGGTACAATTTACGTGACCAGTCCCTTTAAAGGTCAAGGGACACTTTACGTGACCAGTCCCTTTAAAGGTCAAGGGACACTTTACTTTGACAGTCCCTTTAAAGGTCAAGGAATACTACAGTTCCTGTAAAGGTCGAGGGACACTTTACTTCTACAGTTCCTTTAAAGGTTAAGGGACACTACAGTTCCTTTAAGTACAATCTAATTTTATATCTGTCTTTAAACTCGGGGCATAAACTTCCCCCGAAATCTCGAGCATATTTTAATTATATAATTGACCACATTTATACTAGAATTCTTCCCCCCCCACCCCAACTCAACTAACCTAAGGCACTCCTTTTAAGTTGTTAAATGCAAAATTTGCGAAAACTTCTGCAATAAAGTGGACATTTTATTATTTTGCAATTAATAAGTTTTCATAATGAAAAGTGCAGAAAATGAAAGGGAATTAAATCTAAGTAAATAAAAAATTTTCTTTCTTCATTTGATTTTCAAAATTTTGTTTTTATGTACCTTGGATAATAATTGGTTGTCGTTAAATATAAGACTTGTTGATTGATTGATTTATAATTACATAAATCACATTAATTAGATCGATTAGATTAATAATCGTTTGATCACTGTGTGGTCTTTACTCCGTCAGCTATAAATCAAATCTTTAATCATCTAAATTGTGTCCCCCCTTTTCTCTCCCTTTACCCCACTCCCCTCCCCCCATTCCTCCACCCTACCACCTAGTTCCTCACAATTAGATGTTTACTACAGAGTGTCCCACGAAACATGACAGTTGGTGAATAGTTTTGAATGTCTTCTTCCATTTACTGTATTAGATGTTCAAGACTTTTTGCAGTTTATTCAGTTTAAAAAACCTTTTATTCAAATATATCTTATTTTGAAATCCATTTTACTGTAATATGACTGCCATGAAATATTTTTTATTATTCTCCTTGGTATCAAACAATTTAACAAACTATGGAAGAAGACATTTTCGTGGGACACCCTGTACCTCTTTATTACTAATATGACAGGGGTACTCAGGGGCACTCGATAAAATATACTTAAATATTAAATGAATGTTTTAAACAAATCTTTTCGTATACTACAGATACAAAGGAAGACTTTAAGCAATTTATGGGGTATTTAAAATACTCTTATACCCCAAATTTTGGAAAAGGAACACGTACAATTAAGCCAATTTCACTAATCCTGCTTCTCCTGCTTACAGATGCCTCTCATGGTAATGATGATACGATTTTTTTGTCAAAAAGAAATCATAAATTTTCAAATCGATTAAATATTTTTCTTTAAAAAAAAATAAACTGAAAATAATTTTTTACATCTACAAAATGTACAAGTTACCGTTATTCCAGGTAAGAAAAAGTAGTATATAACAAGATTATAAAAAGGTTTAATTCCTAAATCCATTTCACATTTATTTTTAATTAGGTGAACATTCCCATTAAGCAAATTCAATTGTAATTTTAATCTTTTCAATTTTTGCTTGGTCATACTTAACATCCTATTGAGTGGGCGGAGAAGTTGATTATAGAGGCGTGGTATTTATTGATCTCTTTAATGGGTTGTTTGTTTATCATAATGAGAGAGTGGGAGCCCGGGGGGGGGGAGGACATCAAAATTATGGGGGAAAATGTACAACAAAAATTAGTTTAACTTCTTATTAAAACTTAGTTCTATATATTGTAACTTGGAAGGGTAAGGGGGGAATTAACAGTTCTTAAGCTTTGTCACATTTGCAAGGTTGCAGGAAAGATGAGAATTTGCAAAAATCATGCAATTGCAAGTCTGCAACTAATACATGGAAACTGTAAACTGCATTGAACCTACATCTATCTATCTATCTATCTATCTATTTATTCATCTAATTATCTATCTATATCTATCTATCTATATATATATATATATATATATATATATATATATATCTNAGCTATCTATATATTTCTCTATTTTTCTATCTAGCTATCTATATATTTCTCTATTTTTCTATCTAGCTATCTATATATTTCTCTATTTTTCTATCTAGCTATCTATATATTTCTCTATTTTTCTATCTAGCTATCTATATATTTCTCTATTTTTCTATCTAGCTATCTATATATTTCTCTATTTTTCTATCTAGCTATCTATATATTTCTCTATTTTTCTATCTAGCTATCTATATATTTCTCTATTTTTCTATCTAGCTATCTATATATTTCTCTATTTTTCTATCTAGCTATCTATGTATTTCTCTATTTTTCTATCTAGCTATCTAT